ACATTCTGTGCTTCAAGATTTGACCAGAGTGTGGCTTACTTTTTGAAAAAGCCTATTCACTTAAAAACAAGTTAGCGTCCTGCTTCAATAATCCAAATTAGTTTAACATACTTCAGTGACATGATTTTGGCATTTTTCACAATTACCAGAGATAACTCGCTTTTCTCGGCAGACCGTAGGGTCAAAAGCAAATTAAATCAATGGATTTTCTTCCTTTGCTCCCTCGGATGAGCCAGAAGTTATCAGTCAAATGTGCCCATGACCTTTCTGCTTAAGCTTAAAAACCCAAGCAACCTGTTGGGAAGACATTTGGCCAATCTGATTATTTTTTCTATACTAATTGGTTTTACTTCTTCATTGAATTGAATGAATTGCCTGGTTGTTTTGTCACTGTAGGGACAGAGCATAATCCACTTAGAGTGAGAGCTTGTGCTTGGCAAACTATGGGGCTGTAGAAATGTTTGTCATCATTATTATTATATGGTGATTTTTCACGGGGTAAGAATGACAACATATTTAGGGTCTACCCACTTTCTCCATTCCTACTGCTGCCCTGCTGAGTCATCCCATCTGGCCCCCAGAGCCCTTGCTGCCTTGGTGACTGGTTCACCCAGCCCGGCTCTCTTCTCCCTCCAAGTTAGATCCTAGGAGCGAGCATCACGCAGCTTTTAACAACAGCGGCACCGCCTCCTCCCCGCTGCAACACCAGGTCCTTCTCAAGGACTGTGGAACAGAATGTGCACTCTTGACCACAGCCACTTGTACTGCACGAGAACCGGGTACCTGTTCACTTGTCTTTCAGCTGCCCCTCTGCTTGAGCCTGTCCTTCCACGCTGGCCTTGCTCTACCCCCAGGCTCCCTCCCACCTTGGGTCTCTGCCTGTGTTCCTCCTCCATCTGGAACATCCTTGGTGGACTGATTTTCATCCTAAGGTCTCCTTCTGTGCCTCCCTTCCTGAGAGGACTCTCTCAACTATGTAATGCAGTCACCCTCTGTTCTTCTTTTCAGGGTGCCCCTATTTATTGTTACTCTGTAAGATCCTCCCCCATTTCTTGCTAGGTTCTTTTGTCACCTCCCATATCTTGTTCTTGTGCAACACTGACCTGATTTATATTTTCTGTAATGTCCTACCCTCTGCATGTTCCTTCATGACCCTGGCACATCTAAAACTCTCTCCTGTGTCTGCTTGCTTGTCTTTCTCTTCCTCCATCATTGCAGAAGCCCTTGAAGGCTAGGACCACATTGGATTTGTTCTTTTCCAATTCCCCAGGGCTGTGCCTGGGTCCCTGAAGAGGCCTGGGTTGTATTTGCTGAATGAATGACTAGAATTCCAAAAACCTAATTCTGTATCATACAGCCCCAGGACACAAGTGGCCCCCTCAAGATTGTACTGGGGAAAACCTTTGCTTTCTTTCCCAAACCACTGCATTTTCTATAAATTTGCAAAGTTGATTTTCTCTGGATCAGTATACTTGGTAATTTAGCAGCCTACTGATTGTGATTGGAGAAGCAAGCCAGAAGCAGTGGCACATACTTGTAATCCCAGCTACTCCGTGGGGGTGGGGGAGCATTTCAAGTTCAAGGCCAATCTGGACAATTTAGCCAGATCCCGTCTCAAAGGCTAAAAAAGACTAGGGACATAGCTCTTCAGGGTAAGTATGAGGGCCTAGGTTCAGAACCTTGTTGTTGGTTCAAGATAAAAGTTGGAACACATCCAGATATCTCCACTTTTAGAAACCTGGGTGGGGTTGGGAAATGGATGGGTTTGCCATCTATACATAGGGCAAAACAGCAGGAAGGAGAAATGATGTCATCCCAGTGGAGGCTTACATGCAGGTCCTGAGTGGTAACTGATTTAGCTGACCACAAGAATTTAATCCTGATCTAACAATGAAAGTCTCCCTCAAGACTCAGAAATTCATGGTACCAGGTAGGACTGAAAAAGAAAATCGTTTGTGACTGAGGAGCAAACAGACGCCCAAATTCCCACCCTCCCTTGTGTTGAAGAGCTTTGTTATTTTCCTCTCTTTCCCCATGCTGAAGACCTCTGCTTTAATCTCTGGGGAGCATACAAAATGCCAGGGAGGGTGAAGGGAGGGCAGGGACAAGGGGAAAAAATGAGGACCAAGACCTGTCATGTAAAGGTACAAGATCCCAATGATGAATGTAACTGTGCTGTATACCTCAAATGTACCAATAAACTAAAAAACAAAAACAAAATGCCAGGGACACAGGGCACAATCAGTCTACTAGGCGATGAGGGGCTCTGTTGAAAATGGGGGTGGGGTAACTCAGTGATGGACCTCCCAACTCTTTTCCAATTTTGACCCCGGAATGCTGGCAGCCAGAGTGTCATTTCCTAGTCAGCGCATCTGAGACAAGAAGTTGACCATGACACATGGAAGACACAAAGATGATTCTTATAGGGTGTCTCACTTTGACAAGGGAACTAGATGACCCTACAGGGAGGCCCATGGTCTAGAAGCTGCATGAGATTAGCTTCTGATGCCCATTTCTCAAACATGGGTGGATGTTTATAATGGCCTCACCTCTCAGGAAGGCTTTTAACATGAAGAGAAAGACTTCAGCAACAGCCAGCCATTATTTGAATTGCACAAGTGGTGGGAGGCAGAGGGAGGGAGAAGGAGAGAGAAAGGAGGATAAAGAATAGAATGAAGAAAGAAGAAAAGGACTCTTAGAGAAATTACTAGAAATTAAAAACATGAATGGGGGCTGGGGATTTAGCTCAGTGGTGCTGCCGCCTGCCTTGCAAGTGCAAGGTCCCGAGTTCAATCCTCACTACAAAAAAAGCCATACAAAGAAACAAAAGCATGAATAGGAATAGAAGCTCACAAATTCGAAATTAAAGATGAGGGAGTTCTTCCATAAGTAAAACAAGAAGACAAAGAAATAGAAAATAGGAAAGAAAAGAGAAAGATTATACCAGGAGGTAAAGTAGCCTAGTTAAAGTATTTATATAAAGAGAAAAGACAAAACAGAAGTCAAAGAAGTGATGCATAAGATCAAGAGATCTGTTGTTCTACAGGGCGACTTTAGTTAAAAATAATGTATTCTTGAAGATTGCTGAGGGTAGATTTTATGTGTTTTCAGTCCTCCCTCCACCTACAAAAGATAATTATGTGAAGTAATGCATATGTTAATGGACTTTGTTAGTCTTTCCACTAAAAATAACACATTCTGCTTGCATTTTAACAAGCGTATTTTTCCCCAAACTGAAGGACGTGATTCATATTGAAAAGACCCACTGGGTGCCAGGCACTGCCTGAAGACAGACCCAGGATCTTGGTGACACCAAGGACAAAGAAGAGCCTTGGAGTTTTCAGGGAAGGAGAAATGAAAGGATCCTCCAAGGATCCTGAGTCCTTAGTCACGTGTGCTTTGGATTCCTTCACCACTAGAACTAGGACAGCGCAGCCCCTTTGCTCTGAGCAGAAATGGTTTCCAACTAGAAATGTTGTACCTACCCAGCTGGGCTGCGATAGCTGTGCTTACTGTGCCCTTTCTCATGAAGCTACCAGGTTTTTTGTCAAAACTGCAAGAGAATAATCAATAAAAAGAAGCCATGGACGTCCAGGAACCAAGAAAGAGGTGAAGAGAAGAGGGGCAGGCTCCGCTGTCTTGGAGCCAGGCACTGGGACAGCCAAGTGAGCTGTGGTCTGCTCCCTTCCCTCCCCCTCCCCTTCCTTATACAAGAAAACACCCCAGATTCATTGTATGCCTCAGACTTGGGAGGTTCAGACTCTCAAGAGAGCTATTTCTAAGGAAATGAATCCCTCGACGGAGAGGAGGTTGATGAATGAGTTTTTAGTCAATAAGCGTATAGGAAGCTAAGCAAAAGGAAAAAATAATTATTAACTTCCAGGAAAATAATTTTGATAAGAAAGGCAATGCAATCATAGCATACTAACTACATAGCTCAGTTGTGAAAGTCATGTTCCTAAACATAATGTGAGCTTTGAGTATTCACTTAACACGTGGCTTCAGAATGGCATGGGCGTTCAGAGGGCAGAGGGGTGAGAGAGGTCATAGGCTACACCCCAGACTGGAAGCACTTGAGAAGCAATGCTGCAAGCCAGTGGTGTCAAACCTATGGAATGTGTACCACAGTGGGCTGTTTGTAATCACTGAAAGTCTAAAAGGTTCACCATCACCGCTGCAAGCACACGATAAGTGCAGGAGACTAATGTCAAAAAGAATCCCAAGTGGAAAAAGATGGTTAGAGGGTCAGGGGTTTCTGGATTTCTTAATAAGTAGAAAATCTGGGCTTGTCAAGCTCTAAGTGTGTAATTTAAAAGTGGGTCCAATATCTCTAATGATGCAGGTGTTCTAGAATGTTTTTCTCAGCTTATTTTATAAGGCAATCTACCATATGAAATTCTGTGTCCTTTTGACCTGTGTCCTGGAGGTCTAGGAGAAGATAGAGGAAAGAGTAATGGTAAGGGACCAGGGGACAGCAGTTGTGAGAGGGGCTGTTTTCTGGATATTGTCACCCGACCCCCAACCATAGTGACCAACTACTGGCAAAACGCCAGCATCACAAATGCCAGCCTCAGCTCCTGCTGCCCAGGGCTTCAGTGGGGGCCAAGATACAGCAATCCCCATGCAATCTAGGTGCAGCTTCTACCTCAGCCACCTGGTATCACAGCCAGGGAATTAGAGGTGATCTAAAACCAACCCAAACAAACAAGACCAGGGAGATGATTCTAATGAAAAAATGATGCATGGAATATCACTTACAATGTATGTAATTTGGGGATTTTTCTACTTTGGGACTTGGGGTCTCATTTCTCAGCTAAAAATGAATACCATTTGACCACGTTTAACTTGGCCAGAGGTAAGCTGAGTTCTTATGCACATTGCTTGGGGTGAAGGTTAATGAGCTTGAGGGCAACCATGAACACATGGATGACCTCTTAGGAAATTATCCTGTGCTCATTTTAGAATTCTGGATGTACACGAACATGTCTCCCATCCTTCAGGTCTGAGTCTCCAAGCAGCGCCTTCTTGTGTTGCCTCACCATTGTCTCTTGGTCCGGGGGATACAGAGCAGGAAGATGCCTACAGACACACCTCAGAAACCACCTCTCCTGGGACAAGTTCAGGAGCCATCAGGGACACAGCTACCCTAACCGGAAAGGTGGGAATTATGATGTTGAGCTGCTGCTATTTGTCCCGTTTCTAGAATTTTGGTTCTCTTTCTTATTGTCATTGTCCAATGTGGCAAAACTTGCAAGGATCACCTAGTAGAGCTTCCTGGGACAAAAATTCCACTATGCAATATATATATTTCCAAGCCTTCTGTATGGAAAAATTGGGCAACTTTGTTTTGTGAAACTGCTAGGATGATTTATTGAAAGCCCTAAGTACATTATTAATTTATACTGAAGAGAGAGACGCTGCCATGCTTCAGACATCATCTCTACGTGCAACTTGACATCGCTCCCAGGCAGACCGTGGGGCTGCATGTAGAAAACCACTACAATACTGATCCAGACCACACTTTGATGCTAATCTGAAAAACACTTCAGTATCCAGTGCAATAAATTGTACATAAACTGTACGAGTTCTGGTGATTGAAAATAGGAAGCCCAGGGCTGGTTGGATAATTGAGTGGCTTTACTTTTTAATAAAGCCAGATAAAAACACATAGCAATCTCAGCAAACTATTTTGTATCAATACCAAGCTTTCCTCAAGCTAATGCACAAATTAGTTATTAATGGAAACTTACTGAGGGTATCCTATTGAAGTTCATGCTCGGTAAAGAACCATGAAGACCTCAAGACCTTGTTTTCATTGAGGCCCACATTTCTGACCACGTTTTTCCTTGTACCAATTAACCTTTCCCCTCCTCTTTCTTTTCCTTTGTATTTTATTACAGGCTATTTCTCCATCTGCTGGTGAGCCTGGTGACTGTTCTCCTCAGGAGGACACTGTTGTGCTGTCAGGATCATCTCTGCAACAGGACACCTGCTTGGCAATGGCTCAGGATGACTCCTTGCCCACTGGAAAAGGTCTTGATGTTGGATTGCTGGAAACTCACCGGCTGCCCTCCCAGGATCAAGTCTCGATAGATCCCAAATCATGCAATCTCTCCGATGCTCAAGAGCCTTCTTCTTCTGGACCCAAAGAAACTCCCTGCCATGACATTGTTACCTCTGCGGCTGCCATTTGTATTTCTCTCGGGGTAAGAGTAGGTCACACAAGGCTGGGAATTCACAGTTCAGAGCCACATGACCACAGCTGGGCTGTGGGGGGAACTCTAGCCCAAAGCTTCCCAGATAGAAGAGCCGTAGCAGAGGGCACTTCAGAGGCACTCTTGCCAGGGAATCCTTCATCTGGACAAGCAGTTTCAGCTTTGGCTCCATTGGACTTAACTGATAAAACTCATCTTGAAATACCAACTTCAGGACCAAGTTCAACAAGTTCACACCAAGAAGAAGGGAAGCAGCTGGCAGTTTTTCCTTCCCGGGGCCAGCATGCATGTGGAGAAACGGCCACCTCCTCCCCTCCTGCAGGAAGTCACAGTGGGCAAAATCAAGCATCCGGACTCATCGCCCTGAAGGGTTGTGTGGCCCCTTCTCAACCGGGGCAGCCTTCAGAAGTTCCTGAAGCTCCTGCTAAGTCCGTCAGGAAGAGGAGTTTGGAAGCATTGAGAACGCAGACTCGGGTGGAGCTGAGCGACTCCAGCAGCGATGATGAAGACCGACTGGTCATAGAAATCTGAGCCTCCTGGAGAAAGGTGATATCTATAGTCAAGGACTGTTGATGCTTCGCAAAGAAGTGAAGGCAAGCGGGTGAACTCCCTGAACTCTGTTTACGAAACACCTGCAGACCAGGGAAGCCATCTTGTGCTCCTTCAAAGCCAATTCCAACCAACTCCAAACCTCCGATTCGGCCACACCCTTTCCTAGCTCCTCCGGGCCTGCTCACTTTCACCTGGTGCAGGTAGGACACATGTGAAAATGTGTACTCTGCACAGAGTGACCAGGCCTCGGCTTGCAGCCCCCCCCCCCC